GGGGGGGGACGGGAATTGCTGCCCCTCCGTTCAGCCGCTGAGCCAAGGCACAGAGGGGGTTAAAGCCAAAGCTGTAGGAGAGTGTCAAGAACACATTCACCAGGAGGGAAAAGGGGGGAAAAAGCAGAGACTTTAGCCCTTCCCCGCGCCTCATCAGGTCTTTGCGGTGCCCACGCACGTGAATGGGTTTCCTACGTGTTCAGGTGGTTCGGCGCGAGGCCACCCGCTCCCCCGAGTGTCACCCACCCGCTCCCCCGAGTGTCACCCACCCTCGGGTGTCACAGGCGCATATTCGTCCTTTTCTGTACACGGGCAGAGCGCTCTGCCCGCGGGCTGCGCTCCCTTGTTCTGCTGCCTCTGCCGGAGACAGGCTTCGGGGCTGACCTGCCTTTTTTTGGTCATGTTTCTGGACGTCCAGAACACTTGGCAGGTGGCCATCGCACATACTACAAAAAGAAAAATAAAAGAAAAAAAAAAGCAAAAAAAAAAAGCAGATATTACCCTTTCAGGTAATTCCTTCTTCCCTTCCTCTCCCTCACCCCTTTCAGGAAAAATAATAATAATAAAAGATAGAGAATTCTGGGGAGGCAGGGACAGCAATCCAGGTAGTTTTCTGCTTATTCACCCAAGAAATCCAGACTTTCTGCATTTGACTCACATTTTAGCTCTGCAGCAGCTGAGCTGAGGGTCCTGCATGCAGGAGCCTCCTCCCCTGTACAGACCTGGTTACACACTGGCTGCCTGATGCAGTGACTCACTGGGAAATAACACTGTGTGGAGCTAATTAAGAACTGACACGATACCATATATATACATGGAGCCGATCAACGATGTACCTGTCATTTACCATTTCCTAATTTGCCATGCTGAACTTTGCAGTTCTTGCACTGGCTTTCCCTGCTTGAGAAAGCAAAACTGTAAAACCCAAACCAACTTAACAACAGTTTTCAACTCTCCTTCTGGCAAGAGGCAGGAAACGAACCAGTGTCTCATGACTTAATGGGGTAGTAACTGTATGAGAGGGAGACGAGGGGAAGCACTTTGCCACAGGGATTCACAACTGTATTTTGAAAGAGGAATGACAGGACTCAGGCACCCTTGGTTTGGTATTTTCCTGTAGTGACAAGCCACTTTTTCACATCCATGTCCTCATTGCCCTGGCTGATCAGAAATAAGGAACAAGTCACACAGGAGAGAGCACATAGTCTAATATTTTCCAGTTTGGAAAAGAGATAAGTGAGTGGGAAATAGAACAGAGGTTGGTGAAATCTTAAGCAGCACAGAGAAGTTGAACAGAGAAAGCCTCAAAATAGGAGAACTAAGGGACATCCAGTAATAGTATGAAGAAACAAGTTTGAACAACAACACAAAAAAATACATTGTTTTCTGCAGACACAATCACGGAACTGGAGGTTGCTGCCACAAGGGGCTGTGGAGGCCAAAGCTGCATCTGGGTGACAAAAGGTTACATGAAATCACAGAGCATAAAGCAGCGACTAAGCACAGCCAGACTCAAAGTTTCTAAAACATCGTCAGCCTGAAAGCTGGGGTTGGCTGGGAGAAAGGAGCTACTTCCACATGTCCTGGTTCTGGTGCTCTCACCTAGGAATCTCTAGTGGCCACTAGCAAGATCAGGAACCAGTGTGTCTTAGACAAGTCATCTCTTCTAATTATTGTGTTCTCTAGCTTAAGAAAAAACGAAGTGCAAACTATGATGAAACGAAAACAGCAATTTAACTGGTGCTACTTTATCAAGTATTGGGTGTTTCTTTAATAAATGTACAGTTACAATCTCATAGTTGGCTATTAGTACAGGAAGCAGTTAACCACAGGGTCAGGAATGGCACTGACAGAAAAGCAGATGAGTTCTAAGAACACACTAATCTCTCTGCAAACCATTGCAACAGGATATGTGATGGCTTCTTTTAAAGGCAGAAAACCAAACATGCCTTTTTCCTTATCTTTTTTTAGGTTTCAGTTTCACTGTACATCCTTTTAAATAGCTTTTCTCACAGATGTGGCTACCCAATCTTGTGAATTCCACAAGAAAATCTCAGGGTTTTTTTTAAACAACACCAACAGATATGATATAGGCTTAAAACATTTAGCACAATCATCCATTATTTTTAAAAAAGACTCTTATTACAGAAAAGTGTTGCTGTTAAAATTTTTGCATCTGTTAGTTTTGGTAATGAAATCCAGTTTCATAATACAGGGATATTTTTGCAAAGCACCAGGTAAGACAAAGCACCACAAAAGACAAACATCAATTCTTGAAGAGCTTTTTTTTTTTTTTTTCCCCTTGTTTTTTTTACCCCCTCTTTTTTTTTTTTCTTTTTTTTTTTTTTTTATATGTTTATAACTGTATCCAAAGATCCCAAGAAGAATTGTCTTCTCTTTGTTGGATAAGCATAGGTAGAGGGATTGAGTCTCAAGGTTAGAGATGTTATAATCTAAAATCTTGGGTGTTTCAAAAATCTATGCATAATAGTAATTTGATATATGGAAACAGTTGCCTTGTACTCCCTGTGCTATAAAGGGACAGAAGCTGGACCCTTCAGAGGGAGGTACCAAGGCAGAACCAGCCCTGGAATGGCCAGTCTCTACTCCCTGCACTCTGAGCCCTGGCCAGGATGTGGCACCTTGTCTTCCATCACCAGCAGCTCTTGTTGTGAGCCTTGGTGTCAGGAGAAAAGGGGTTTAGATGTGAATAAACACATGCCAGGTTTCATTGTTTCAAGACCAGCTAACCTAAGAAAGGCTGAGTGATGAGGTGCCTGGAAGGGGAGGACAAGAAACTTGTGACTGGTGCGAAGCAACAGGGGAAGATGATTCAAAAGTGGGTTTGTATGGCCCATGCAGTCAGGCAAATAATTTTTGCAGCACCAGTTTGCATACAGGGTTTCATAACAGAGGGTTAAGTTTTGATTAAACGTCTGGGAAAGAAAGTACAGTTTTTAGAACCATTGCATGGAAAGAAGCTGCGTCATTTCAGGTCTAGCCTGAATATGCATATTTAAAAAGAGACAAAATCAAGAATGACATCCAGATGGCAAGCTTAAAAGAAAGAGCACCATAATGCTTTATATAATGACAGGAAAAAAACATTTCAGGAAGTGCTTGGGGAAAGATCCAGAACTTTATTTTACATTGGCAGCCTGGCAAAGATGTGGGTTTGGAAGGTTAGAAGACGTGTATGCAGTAAGTGACGTATTGAAAGTTAAAAGTGCTCTCTGAGAACATAATAGCTTATTTAAAAGAAAACTTGTTCACCGGCTTATCAAAGAAAAAAGCTGCAAAATCTTTGGGACATGAGTCAGCATGGGAAGTAACTTTAATACTGAGTTATCCCACTCATTTAGGATTATATGGGTACCCAGAGGTGGCAGTTGTTTAGTTACCCTGCTCAAACCGGCCTTAAACATTACGACAGCACTGTGTGGATATCATGACCTAAGGAGATCCATGTGCTGCAATTCCCACCAAGAACTCCACTTCTGACTGTAAGAACATGAGTCCAACCCAGGTTACTCAAAGCCATAAATCAAGATACTTGAGAGAAAAAATATAAACAATTTGATTTTCCTTGAGATAAGAATGCATGACACAATTCAGAATAAAATGGGCAATATATTTTCCTGTGTTTAAAAAATGTGAACTATTTGTTACACTTAGAATGAGCACTTAGAAACCAAAAGGAAAGATAAGCCATTTCTCCTCTGACATATTTACCAGTTTCTATCCGAGTAAGAAGCAAAACTGTTTTCAGCCAAGTAGCTACAGCTTTTTATAAGTGTTAATCTATTTTTGTGTCTACCTATTCCAGTAAAGGAGTCTGTAGTAAACACTTCAAAACATGTCATTTTATCTGAGACTTGAAATTGATCTACAAAAGAAAAATAAGAAGTCCGTCTCTTTTTTCTTTTGCTGTATTTTGTAAGAAAGGCTTGTCAATTTTTGTTTACTATTATGATTACTTCAGCCATTTAGATGTGTTTATACCCAGCAGCAATTACAAAATAATAACATTCCAAGAGAAAAGAGTAAAATAAACTGTGTAGGAACAGGATTTTTAGACAAGATTGCTTAAGTTTATGATGGTATATGTTTTCCCTAACACTTATATAACTGCACCGAGCAATTAACATGTGGGTGAAGTTATTCATTTTTTAGAGGATGCACCAGATTCAGTTATTTAGTGAGTAGGTCAGGTTGTGCACAACCAGGCATTCAGGCAATCCTCCAGAAAACAAGGAATCCAGTCGTGATTATTGTTTTTTTCCACCTATATTTAGAAGTTACATATTTATATATATTTTACGTATGTATGTATTTATTTTTATATTTTGTGATATTGCTAGGATGAAAAAGAAGCAGGAAAGAAATCCAAACTAGTACCTTTTAGGCCTTCGCCATAAACCCTAAAAATGTGAAAGCGAGCCCAAAAGAAATTTTATCCACAAATAGCCACTAATTTACTTCTTGAAAGAAGACCCTTATTCACTTGGAAAGGAGACTACTATTTCTGGTCTCTGGTTGTGATACACAGCAGAAGCAAGCTCAGGACATTTGGCATTTCCCTACTGTTCAGTGCAAGGGCTCTGTGGAGCAGAATGCCCATGACCGTGCTGCGTCGTGAAGCCTTCAACCCCTTAGACCACAAACCTCTTTCCATCTACTGAGGTCAACACTGGCCTGTCTTCCTCGCAGTATGGGAGTACACCAGAACATTCCCAGAGGTTTGTTTGTGCCCCCAGCAGAGAGCTGCCTGAGACCATCACAGGGGTCTCCATAGCATCTTCCAAGACCTGTCTCTGGGCTGAAGACCTTGCTGGCCAGGGAGCCCCCAGCATCCCAGAGGAGCCTGTGCCTGAGGAAAAGCAGAGTTTCCCAATGCAGGGGGCACACTGAGTGCTGTCTCTCCGGAGCAGGTAGCTGCCATGCAGCACCAGAACATGCCCCCAAGTGAGAGGGCTGCTGTGGTGTCCTGCAACTGCCAACTTGCTGCAGTGAGCCCGTGGGTGGCAAGTTCAGGGTTGAGAGCTGAGGTAACACCTGCAGCTCTCTGTCCCCATGCTCATCTTGGTGTGCATGCCCAATGGCAGCAAATGCCACCTGCATGAGAGCAGTTTGGGGGATTTTCAACCTAACAGGCTTACATTCACACCCCGGTGAGCTGCCCCTCTCCATGTCACACTGTGGGAGAGCCCCCTCCAGCCCGACGGTGCCCTGCAATCAAATTCACTTTGCCCACCGCCTCGGCAGTCTGGGGAGGCTCCAGAGAGGAATGAGCCAGCAGTGCTGTGAAAGACAATCCTGTGTCTCTCTGGAGCAGGTAGCTGCCATGCAGCACCAGAACATGCCCCCAAGTGAGAGGGCTGCTGTGCAGTCCTGCAACTGCCAACTTGCTGCAGTGAGCCCGTGGGTGGCAAGTTCAGGGTTGAGAGCTGAGGTAACACCTGCAGCTCTCTGTCCCCATGCTCATCTTGGTGTGCATGCCCAATGGCAGCAAATGCCACCTGCATGAGAGCAGTTTGGGGGATTTTCAACCTAACAGGCTTACATTCACACCCCGGTGAGCTGCCCCTCTCCATGTCACACTGTGGGAGAGCTCCCTCCAGCCCGATGGTGCCCTGCAACCAAATTCACTTTGCCCACCGCCTCGGCAGTCTGGGGAGGCTCCAGAGAGGAATGAGCCAGCAGTGCTGTGAAAGACAATCCTGCAAACCACAGCTGGATTTCCTAGGCCAGAAAAAGAGCTACCTTAATGCATGCACACAAGCCTTCCTGTACCACAGTTCAATCAGAATCTCTGCCCCACACAAGACGCAGAAACCAGGGCTTTTTTTGCTTCACTGCCAAAAAGCAAGATGCTTCTTGTTTCCTTTCCTTTTTTTTACAGAATGTAAGAAACTTCTTATTTTCCCCTAATGTACATAAGCCTATTTGCTTTCTTGCATTGATGTTTCCACAGAGCAAGGAGAGAGAGGTAGGATGACAAAAAGATAGTGATGCCTGGATATCCAAAACAGCCTTTGAATCTCAAGCCTGGGAACAGCCAGATTTTCACATGCCTTTTGGTCATGCATGACCCTGCTGCCCCAAAGTGGAAAGACAGTTAGCTTTTACTCCCTGCCTCAAGAAAACTCTGCCACCTTTTACAAAACCTGTGAGTTTGTGGACACATCTCAGTTGGCTTCTGTTGGTTTCCTGGAGCTGGTGAGACAGTGCAGGCAAGAGAGCTGCGTTTCCACCCCTCACACAAATCTCCCACACTGGTACTGCTCTTCTAGAGCCTCTTAACTGTGATAGCTTTGAATAGAGAAAGAGTGAGAAATTACTTGGATGGATTTGAACAAAAGAGCTGGACCTGACTTTTGTCATAAAGTTCAGTGTGAGCACTCTCAGGGGCATTGGTGGTTTCCCTCCACACTTTATGGAAGAATGGTGACAATTCAGGAGATTGAAGAGGAGAAATACATTTAAAAAGGAGAAAAGGAAGAGCAGGGAATCATGGATCAATCACCCAAAGAAGTAAAACTATTAAAATTAAACTATTTGTAAATACCTGAAAGAAAACAAGGAGGTAACTGACAACCAATATGCTTTTCTCCAAGAACAAATTTTGTGAAATCAAAATATTTTTCTCCTATGATCCAGTAATAGGCATTTGAGTAGGAGGAAGCAATGTGCATTCTATACCTTGATTTTAGTCAAGCTTCTGATACTGTCTTCCATGATATGCTTATAAACAGGCTAATTCTCTGTGTTTTGTTATATGGCAGCACTAAAGGAGTGGGGCACTGGACTTGGTGATTCAGTGACAAAACTGAGGGTAGTACCACACTAGTATCCAGAAGCCCTGACCCAATCTAGTCTTATTAAATATTTCAATAATAACTTGGATGATGAAACAAGAAAGCCCGTGCCCTACATTTTCAGAAGCTGCATGATGAAAGAGAAAAACCAGGATTCTGAATGGCCACAAGAATTAAAGAAAAGTTTTTAAAAGAGAAAATGCAATTCAGAAACAACACGTGCTTTGTTCTGTATGTAGAGAAGAATTTGCTAGTTATTTGATTGCAGTTTGGTATATTAGAACAGAAAGGGGAAAAAAAATTGCCTTCCCCTCCCCCTGGTGCCTTCCCTCACTTCTTAGTATTGTACAACACCTCAGCTTGAACTCCTTCTTTTTACTTTATGCTTTCATTAATATCCTTCCTTCCATTATATTTCTCTGGCTAGCTTACACTGTATGTAATTTCTATCATAAATGCTTGTATTATCATTTTAGTATAACTCCTTCGTATGATGACCTACATTTCATGTTCTGCATGTTTCCTTCTTATGTTGAGATCAAAGGAGAGCTAATGATTGAGGCATTCTGGTTTAACTGAAATTCCTGTCCTCCTTTTGCATGGAAGTGGTGTGTGCTTGTGCTTCACAGCATTTCTTTAGCAAAATGCCAACTCCATTATTGCCAATAAACTCACTTTATGTAAGGCCACTTGCTTGCAGCCCCATTTCTATTTCCCTTTATCCTTCATGACCTATTCCCATGGATTAATTTTCTGATGTAGTTTTTTCTAGAATTCATTGTCCCAGTATTTCTCTGCCTCAGATGGATGAGAGAGCTCTCTGGTGAATTCTGAGAATTCTAAATCCACACAGGAGCAAAACGCACTCAGAATCATGTACTGAAATGCATGACCTTGAAATAGCATAGTTCCATAGCACAGATGGAGTTTACCAGATGTCTGAAACTATGAAATTATGAGTTTTAAAAGATTTGGTACTTTTGAGTGGTTAAAACAACTGAGATTGCAGTATAGAGTAGAGATACTAGAAGTATATTGAAACAAGCACATTTACATATGGATCCATGCTTTTGATGCCCAAACTAGTTTACCTACCCTGCCTCTACAGTGTGCACTTACCTGTGCAATGTAGGTACATCCTGAGGACAGTGGAAGGTTTGTCCTTTGTTTATACAAAATGTGAGGTTCTTCCTTGAACCATCAGAACTGGTCTGATGGCCATAAACCCTCTGATGGTACCTGTCCAACGATTGGTTCTTCAAGTTGTCACGTTTTGATCTCTTGATGCTGACTGAAATGACTGAAAATCTGTATCATGTGGGATTGACATCTAGCCAGAAGAGTGGTCCTTCAAAACACTCACATAGTCTTTTATATTTCCCGTGCTAAAAAATGGGGCAGTAAGGATTCTTTGCCTAGGTGATACCTTAAAACAGTACTGCTGTTAGTAGTGGAGTAGGTACTGCAAGGTCCTACTGGTACAGAGTTTCAGATACATAGATTATTCTTTCTCTGGCTAAAAGCTGCTTAGGACATTAATATCTTCCGAGGAGATATTTTCCCTGTCTCCCCTGACTTTTCCATGCATCTTATCACCAAAATACCATGTTTCTTCATACTTCCAAGATGCTCTAACAGTTGGGGCTTTCCTTACTATTTTGGTCGACTTTAGCTACTGGCCACAGTAGCCTATTAAGCATAACAGGGCATCTCTACTCCTAGTAAAGAAAGGACAGGCTAGCCTGTCTGCTCCCAAATGTCACAGCTTCCTGAAATCACTGCCCTTGCTTAGTGAAATGATGTTTTCTCAGTCTATATCAATTAGCCTCAGCACTGTCATTTCATCACGTAAGGGTTAGTTGCGGGTGAAAGAGAGGTTTCAGCAGTTCATTTCCTGTGGACATGAGAATTGAGAAGCCAATGTAAAAACCCTGTAAAATATGTCTTTTTCTCCTCTCTACCATTCTTCCCATTTTTTCTTCTACAGGCAACACCTTGTTGGTAAATTCTCTCTCTACTGATTTTCTCTGCTGGTCTTGTCCTCAGATTCCTCCACCAAGTCCTGTAGCTGAACAGTCTCATCACACCCCCTGTACATCTCAACACAGGATGAACAATGAAGTCACCTCCCTTTCCACCCTCTTCCCGTCACTGACAGGCTAAGGAACCCCTTCTCAGGACACAGGGTGTTCTGATGTACCACTGAAGACTAGCTCACACCAGGAAGGGTGCTTTTCCAAAACTCAACAGACTGACACTATCCAAGTGGAATTGTTGTCTTCTGGCTTACCTCAGTTAGGTATTGGCAAATAGGAGTGTAAGGAGAATTGCTGGAGGTGAGAAAATAGGCTGTTTCAGAGTTTCAACAATTCCTCTTCCTCTCCTTTTCCTCCAGCCACAATCAACATACCTCAAGGAATCTGTAGGCGTAGCAAAATATCTTCTGTTTGGCTCCAGAGGCGCTGGAGGTTTTTGGTTCAAAGGCGATGTTAGCAGACTTTGGGAAACCCACTGTGTTTTGACCAGTGAGGCCTATTGCCAAGAAGAAAAGCACTTTTTCAAATATGTGAAATTAATTTGTACTGAGATTTTGGCTGAGGCATTAACATTTAATTTTTCATATTCGTACAAGTTGGTTTTTACCACCAATTTACAGAACCAGTATTAGTGGATCAGATTGGTGGATTCTGTACCAACATGTCGTAAGATCCAGTTTCTGCCACATGGAAATAACTGTCTAAATAGACAAGAGAAATATTCTTATCCCATTTGCAGACAAGGCATTCAAGCATGAACACGCTAAGGAATATGCCTGGGGATATGCAGAAAGTCTGCATCAATCAAGTGAGCCACACTGGGGAATAAACAGCACCAGCACTTTACTTGCTCCTCCTCCAGACACCCTGTATCTTCCTTTAAATCAACCTATTCGTTCACCAGCAGCAGCACCACAGGTGAAGAAGCTGTTGACATAGGTTTTGTTTTTATTGTCATTTTTTACGAACATGAGAAGAAGGGACTGAAGTCAATATGAATCAATGAGATAAATTAATTAATTTTAATGATGTATATTTAAAAAAATATAATTTTTTTTATGCTCTGAAATCACAGAAAATCTCAAGCTATCTAAAAAGCAAAAATGAACCTACCAATTGAAGAATGAGGAAATTAAGGTAAAAGCAAACAGGCCAGCTTGTTAACAAGTGCATGATAAACAGACAATTTACTGAAAAAGAGACTTTTCAGCTATTTCCATGACATGTTGTTGCCACTTGAAATGTGGTGCCTTCTGGTGCTGTCTCAGAATATCTGGCAGAACATGTTGTATGTAATCAGATGCTATTTTTTCAATGCATACTTTAAAAAAAAAATCTGTCTTCTCTGATAAGCATTGGGGCAAGACAAATGTTCTACTTGCTAAATAATTTCCTTCAGAAAAATTGAACACATCTCTAGGATTTTCTGTAACCAGCAACTCCGACTCCCATTTTTAAAAGTCTGTAACACAATAAACCAGAATTTTTAAGATGCTTTGGCTCTGTATCAAATCTTCTATTAAGGGAAATTATATATATGAAAGTAGTAAGCACACAAAAACAAGAATGGAACAAATGGTAATAATAATTAAACCTACCATTAAATATAAATGTATCTATCCACTGAGGAGCTTACACTGTGACCCCACTGAAATGTGGGCATTCATCACTCACTGAATACACTCCTGTGCTTATAATGGCACTTCCCTTTATTACCTTTTGCTAACCAGTAACATTCCAGCAAACTTCTACCCAACCAAATAATTTCTTGGTTCTCTATGTAGAAGTTGTGTGGGGATGTGTTCCAAAAGCATTGGCAAGGCTAGAGCCTGACTTTAACCAGCAATGTTTTAAAAAAGCAAAGGACAAGGAAAGGGGTGAAAATGAAAATCAGCAGAGACAATGCTAAATAACACATTCTGTGGTGATGAGAGCACTTGTAAGATATCTCACCCTGAGGTCAGCACACCTTCCCTGGCTGTGGCAGAGCTTGTGCAGGAAACCAGCAACTTATTCTCACATTATCACATTGGCAGGGAGCTGCGCAGGGAAGCACAGCAACTGACCTGCAGTTCTGCTGGGTTCTGGCACCAAGTCTAGTGCATAAGATTTGCACTTCTTTAAAACAGCTTATAAGACACAAGTAAATATTTGTGCACTTGGCTCCCCACAAATGAAAACGTTTAAGTTCTCACTTGAGCACTGCCTGCTAACAAGAAAGGCAGTGGAATAGGAGTGGATCAGGAGATGAAAATCCCCAGTACCAAGGTCCTTACAACAGTGGTATGCATTCCTGTGCCAGTTGGGATAAGGTGCAGTCTGATTTCCTGGACTGAAAACCATGACGTTCAAAGCTCTGCCTTCCTTCAAGTTGTCTTTCCTCCTTCCACATCTCACCTCAGCCATCCTCTCTGGTACAAGGCCTCCCATGCACAAGCTTCTTGCTTCTGATCATATTCCTGCCTCACTTGCTCCTTGTCCTGTTACAGGTAACACCATAGGCCTACTCTTCAGACTACATATTAGAAATACAGTGAGTATTTTTAAGATAGGTTCATAATAAGTTCATAGAGCTCAATGGACAGAAGCATAATGATAGGCTTCCTAATGTAGTCACAGCAGTTCCTCTAGGAGGACATCCAGAACAATCTGGCTTTTCCTGGAAAACCCTTGGCCTGGGGAAGAAAATAAAGGCATTGAGTTTCTGAAAGTCTTCATCTCTAGCTCAGACCAATGAGTCAACCATCAGCAAGCTGCAAAACTTCACATTGAACCCTGCTAGCACCACCATCTCACTGCCACTTGCACTGCATGGTGGTTGCCTCTCACAGTGACCTCTGAGTGCCGCTCACCAGCAGCCCAGCAGGCTGTGGTAGACAAACCCAAAATGGGCAAAGTCATGATGAAAGATCCTGAGGCCATCCTCCAAACTTCCTTAGTGTCTGCACGAGTCAGTCACTGACAAGGCCCATTCTGCCATCCAGTGCCTGTCCCAGAGAAGCTGCAGCTGCTTAACTCACAAGAGCTACCACTCAGCTGCCAGTAGGGCTTGATGGACTCACCAACACAGATTTACAGACATCCTGGCAGGCTTCAGTAGTGAACCCTCATGATATCTGTGCTTTCCCCACCTCCAGCATCAAGTTCAAAGGGGATGCTGAAATCTTCTTTCCAAGTAGGATCATTCAGAGCATAAACTGGAAAAGGCTGAAGCCCTTCTGTGCTGCTGGGTGATGCAGTCGTGCCCACGCAGCGCTGGAGGACGGGGCTGGTTTAACCACATGCTGTGAGAGGCTGTGAGTGGCATGTGCTTTGTGCCTTGACTGCAATATGGCAGGTCCTGACTGACAGATTAGAAACAAATGGGCAAACTGCACAAGCTGCACAAATCAGTGCAGCCCTGATGGCTGCTGTGTCCTACACAGCTTCTGCATGGACTTGGCTGAGCCTTTCCATCTGGACCACGAGAACAATTTCTTCAGCAGCCTTATGCCCATCTTCTGCAGTCTGTGAGTAGCTGGAGAAGCCAGATGACCCCCTACATCTGACCATGCCTTCATGAATGGGATGAACTGAGCAGGTTAGGGTGGAGTCCAATTAACTGTACTTGATTTTGCTATCTCATTATGTTTCCTAGAGGAGGGGTTTACGTTTGCCTGCTTTACCCACTCACTGCTCAGGGGACCTCAATATGCAGATCATGGTTACTCCCTGTCTGCCCTGGCCATCTATTACTTTTTTGACCTTCTGAGCATTCTGGCATGCAGCTATGACTGCTGCCTCCACAATCCCCAGGAAACATCACAGGCTAAGGGTGATCTGTTTTGCTGGAGAAAAATGCAGCTGACAGACCAGCAGCTATGCCATGCAGCTCAGGGAAAGGAGGAGGGAGGGTGAGGGGAAATTTGCTTGCTGTCTGCTTCTTGGGAGATGGTGGAGAGAGGAGGACATGGAACAAGACTGTGTAAGCATCTCATATGGATGGGGGACAGAAGCTTGCTAAGGGCTAGAAATGTGGTGGAATCAGCTGGTTGGATCCTGCAGAACAAAAAAGGCACCCTTTCACCAGGGAAACCTTCTCCCCCCATTCATAGTGACACAAGAACTTCTGTCTTGACCTGTTTTCTCTATATATCTCTAGAGAAATTGGTCATTTTCCCTGTACCTAGGCTTTTGGCCAAAATTCACGAAGTGGCCATGCCTTCTGCACCTCATGAAAGGCCACCTGCACCCAAGATGTTGTGCCTCTTGCTTTTCTGCAGGGGAGGTGCCCTGATGGTTCACCATGTAGTCCTACTGCCATTTTTTGTCCTTTCAGCCTACACCTAAAGAAGTCCCTGAAAAGATGGACACATAGCAGACATTTCTCTTCCTTGTGCTCCATTAACTGGCCTACTTGGCATTTGTGAGCATAACTCAGTGGCTCTAGAGGCAGCCAGAAACTCTGCTAGCAGAAGCTGCCACTTACATTCCCTCCCAGTTGCCCCACAAAAGAAACTCGTAGAAAAGCAGACACTTACTCAGGCTGGAATAAGAAGTACTGGCACAAGGGATGGGTGATGCAAGCTGCAGCTAGGAATGGGCTGAAAAGCTTTCCTGGTTTTGTTTTCTCTGAGGGACTCTGTGGGGTCTAGAAACAGGATCCAAAGGACACCTTCTCCTTATGACTCTCCTGCATCATCTGTCCAGAGCATGGATGTCCAAACAAGTGGCTGATTTAGTGGTGCACTCCTACTCAAATATCTGTTCAGCTGCCATGACACCACTCTGCATGGTTCTTTCCTCGGGTCTTCAAGGACACAGACACCTTGAACTTGTTCTCATTACCAGCTGACAATTCCTGATAGTGCTGCAATGCCATTTCCTTCAAGCTCTATTGTTGTTCTGTGCTGGGTTTCTTGGGAGAAGATCGATGTTGCCAAAATAACAATAAAAAAAGATATAAAAGAGATAGGTGCTTCAGCAGCAGAATATACAGCAAGCAAAGCAGGGAAAAGATTAAGAAGGGAAAGTCTTAGGGAAGGTGAAGAAGTGAGTTGCAAAGGTCAGAGGGCTAACAGTCAGCAGGA